GGTTGACGAATATTCAAACGGTAGGTTAAGTGTGACCATCACATGAACATTCTAAGAAAGGAGGAGAAATTACTTCTGCCCCAATTATTTTTCAATCAGATTATTTATGAAAGTTGTGTGATGAATCAAGTTGTGTTTCTTTAATGGGCGATGAATATTCAAACAATAGGCTAAGTGCGGCCATCACACGAATACTGGGGGAAAGGAGGAGAAATTACTTCCTCCCTAATATTTTTTCGTCCATGAAAGAATTAACTTGATTTGGTTATTTAAAAGTGTTTTGATGCAACTGAAGAATGTTCAAACGGTAGGCTAAGTGCCGCTATCACTTGAACATTAGGGGAAAGGATGAGAAATTATGTTTGCCCCAATCCTTTTTCAATCATTATTTATTACAAAAAGAGATTGAAAATGGACAACTTGACGTTGAATCAGGTGTTTAAAGTTGATTAAAAAAGTGTAAGGGGAAGAGATACTTCACCTAGAATCAAGCACTCGCGTTGCGTTCTATTGAATTTGATTTGGAAAAGCGCTTGAGGTTGGATCAAGACTATTTTTTTTCTTTTCGAAAGTGATTGGTTATAATCTTGAATTATAAATTTACTAAGATAACAAAGCAATTGAAAGTAAAGCAATAAAATTAGGTAAGCAATACAACCCGGGGGTGGGGGATATATATTGTCGAATGGGAAATGAAATAAGGATAGGCAAAAGAAATAAGGATAGGCAAAAGAAATAAAATCAATATGAAATAAGACAAAATGCAAGATATAGGAGCGCACACGACATATTTGCATCAAACATTCAATGTAATCGAATAGAAATAAGTACAACCAAAGTGGAACATGCACATATCAAGTTCATGATGCCAGGACACGAATCAATGTCATGTAACACAAATACATGCAATGCTACCAAAATAATTCACATTCGAATTAAAAAGAAAAAACATTGGATAATTGTATACTAGCACAAACCAAAATAGAAAATTGCTAATGCATAAGCGGTCATCGCAAGTCGAATCGAGAAGCAACAAGATAGTAAAAATCAATGAAAAGCACAAATTGCAAATCGAAACGCGAATTGGTATGAGCACAAAAGTAGATTGTCGTTGTGCTAACCATCAGACGCGTGTACAGGATCAAAATGCAAAAACATTAACTACTTCACCATTCAAATAGTGAGTAGGGACAAATGGACCATTGAATATAGTTTCCCACAATTCAAGATTAAACTTTTAACGAAAAATTCCATATCTAGCTTTCCACAAATCAAACCTATCACCATTTAACTGTGGAGGCATATTTAGGGTACTTCTTATGTAACAAGAAATGTTTGAAGTTATCGTCCTCTCGAGAGGATTAGTCATTAAATAAGAGTTAGGTTCTGATGCCACTTGTTGGACACGTGACTCCAAATACAAGAAGAATGAGGGGATGAATTGTGGAGGTTTGAAAATGTTGGTTACAAACAAAATCTTTGAGAAAATCAATTTTTAAAACCATTTGTAACACAAAGAAATAAATAAGCATTAGAGAATAGATAGATGGAAAATAAGAATAAAGAAAATAACTAAAAATTAAAATAGATAAGGAAAAGAGAAAGACACAAGCAGATTATAGAGGTTCAGTCTAAGTGAATGTGACTTAACCCTATCCTCAAGAATTCTTCTTGAGATTTTCCACTATCTTGAGAGATTTTAGTAGGATATATCCATAAACCTTCTTTTACAAGGATTTGAAGTTTTTCTATGGCTAACTTCTAAATTGAACCTTGAAACATAAGTCTTCACTTGAACATTGTTAGATGGCACTGTTGACTTGAAAGAGATGACTTGATCTTTTAGTCATCTGAACAAGAGCATCTTCAAAGGATGGATTTATAAAACACCTTGATACTAAGAGAATCTTTGATTGTTTGAGTTATCTTCAAGAGATAATGACTTCACTAAATATTATTGGATATCTTGTGTCATCATTAAAATCAAACAATTGGTTGAAACTTTGCTATAAATAAACTCTACCATTTTGGATCACGTTGATAATACCTACAAGCACATAGACGTCGAATAAACTTCGAGCGGAACTTGGAGCAAAAGTGGATCCCAAAGGAATAAACCCGACACCAGAAATAAACGCCACAAATCAGGTAAATTTTTAATAAATAACTAAAGTGTATGTATCTATGTGTGCGTGTGTGTATTTGTGTGTGTGTATTTGTGTTTGTGTATGTGTGTGTGTGTATGTGTGTGTGTGTGTATGTGTGTGTGTGTGTGTGTGTGTGTGTGTGTGTGTATAATAGGACAAAAAAGTCAAAGCTACAAGCATGTCGAACACGTCCACGCCAAAAAAGAGAGGAGCTAGTATGTCAAAGAGACTAATTTTCCATCCTTGATGGCTTGATTGAGACGAGCTTGATCCTGAAAGACATGAACGTTAGGATAAAAGTGTTTCACTTACTTCAAAGCATTCTCAAAAGTACCCTCGACGACGAAGAAACCCTTTTGTAACAATTTAGTTTGCTCTTTATAAAGATAAAGGTTCTCTTTGTGCATCGCATGAAGACCGCCCTCGGTCTCCTTTTGACTTCCCCGGGATTCTTTTAAAGGCTTCTCTAGTTCTTAAATTCTTTTTCGAGCAAGATACGAGAACTGGAACGTTTCTCTCATAGCTACTTCTACCTTTAACGAAGGAATAAAGGGCCAAATCTCATTCTTCTCGGCTACCCCGCGTTACTTTTTCTACCAAAGTACCAAGATATTCGAAAAGTTCCACAACGACCTCTATGGCCAAGAATTTGTTGGAAGCACCTTAGACCTCCTCCAAATACTAATCCCAATCGATTTTAAGATCATTGACTCGTTCATTGTGTCTTTCCCTCTCATGTCGAAGACGGTCGAGCAAGGGAACTTCTCCTCGACTAACAACTCCGAACACCAAAATAGACGACGCTTTACGAGTATGGAAGGTCAATTTGGTAATTACCTTTGTAAAGCTTTTTCACAAAGATCTGAGAAATAAGAATAATCTTCATTAGAAATCAAAGACTTGGACGAGCTAACAACATTGGATTTTGCTCCATGTGAGTGGATGCTTGCCTTTCTACAATTCCATGTCAGGGATGTTTATGAGGAGGCCTCTCCACTTGAATCATTTCCACCTCCAAGGTGGGTGCTAACCTTCCCATTTCGATCCGGGAGGGGAATCTCAAACTTCCACTTAAAGGGGAGGAGTAATTATTTGAACGACCCGCCAAGTGACTGTACCAAAGGGTGTTCCATTAGGTGTACTTGAGGTGGAGGCTCCCCCAACAGAATGGGTACTCAAAATTCCAACCAAAACACCAAACATCCAGATCTGTTTCCACAATTGTTGCATGGTATCCCCGCTCTTTATCACATCTACACGATTAAGAAAAGAGACATCAAACAAAGTTTGAGAAAGGAAACAAGGAAAATAAGTCCATAACGCCATTTACCAAAAATTATCTTCCTTTCCTCTTTTAATTTAGCATCTACCTGCTAGCGCCACTTACCAAAAATTATCTTCCTTTTCTCTTTTAATTTAGTATCTACCTGCTAGCGAGTATAAATGCAATTCTTCGACCAATTTCTGGAAGCACATCCGACACAACCAAACTCTTTACAAAAAGCCACCGACAAACTTTTTAAATATAATTCCTCTAAAGATAGATCTCCTTCTTTATAAGTATATGAACTAACTCCAACAAGTAGTCGCCCTTTGATTCTTTAAGACACTAGCCCATTATCAAAGTGCTTTACTTGTGTCACTCTCTTATGAATTTCTTCCGCCTATTAAAAATATATGATATAATTACAAACAATTTAAGACTTTTTTATATATATCGGAAGGTATACTATTAATATCTTTCAACATTCAATATGCTAGATTATAATCCAATTTCAACTCCTATTGAGATTGATTCAAATTTAAAAGGGAGTGATATTAATGAAGATTGAAAGATAAAACCAAATATAGAACAAAAATGGTGGGGACACTAACACATGTACCTATCTTAAAATCTCAAGAGGAAAGGCATAACAAGTTCAAAATTATTTTTCCTTTTTGGTAAACGTCTCAATTTGAATCTCACTTGCTTTGCACACATTCTTTACTTCTCTATCCAATCAAAGAGAAACAAGAAGAAGAAAAAAAAAGTAGATAATAAAAATGCTTTGGAGTTGATTGATAGCATCTTTTAATTTTCACTTTGAAACATTGAGGACCATATGTTTTTTTTCCTCCTTTATTATTTTCATTATATAATTTCATTCTTTTCATCATAGAATCTGATAATAAATTTAAAAATGTTTGAATGGACCAAAAACCAACATGACAGTTTCACTATCGCCACAAAAGAATCTAGTGAAAAAGACCAACACAAAATGCAAACACCCTTCTTTTACATGTTCCCAACACCTTTAAATGGTGGAGTTTTTACTTTTACTTTAAGAACTCATATATATAATCTTTGAAAAATAAAAACAGAATTTCCAAATTTAATATAAAGCAAACTAAAGCCAAATACTCTTTTTCTTCTATCATAGTTTTAAATTGCGGTCGCAGAATATTTTAAATTTTTATAGATGTAATGATGTTGCTGAGAATAATATATTTTGCAGACCGCAATTTAAAACTATAAGCGACTTTTTTGTGTTAAGTCGCTTTACATTTTAATGTTGATTTCAAATTTCACTGAAATTTGTGATTCTCTTTTTTTTTCTAGCTTCACCCCATCTTGATAAGATAAGTTCAAAAAAAAAATTTTAACACTCATTAAATTGCGGTTTTTGTACATACTGATCATGAAACAAATTTTGGATATTTTTTTGAACTTATTTTGTTTGGGACACAAGCTTCTTTTCCCTTTTAAGACCACAAAACTCTTCCCATAATAAATCAATTTCCATTAGCACTTTGATTAGCCCTTTTTTTGTCATCTTCTGCATGTTTGATGAAGCTTGTTTGATTCTCAATTCACTAACTTTGGCCAGGTGGTCTACCTGAATTTCCAGCTCTCCTGAAAAAATATTGTTACCAAATAAGATTTTAAAAGGGTCATTCCAAGTTATTGGATTTAAAAATTCTCAGTCAAATATATATACAAATTCTTTTAATTTAAAAATTATTTTTAATTCTTAAATAATATTTATTTTTCTAGTATAAATCGGATATTTTCTACGCGCAACTACTCCATCTGAGATATAGAGAATCACAATAGATGATGCAACTGCTCCCTCAAGTAAGAGAGAATATGCGCAACTACTTCATCTGAGGTGTAGAGAATCACAATAGATGATGCAATTGCTCCCTCAAATAGGAGAGAATCTCGGAAAAACTCTCTCTCAAGAGACTGGCGCAACTGCTCCCTCAAGTTGGGGAGGATCTTAATAGACAACAAAACGCTCTCTATCAAGAGGTTTAGCATTGCTACGTGATCGAGATTGACTTCAAGCTCAAAATCTCTAATTAAGTTGGAAGTGTCTCTTACCATTTCATCGAAGTGTTTTCAATTTATTTGACTATTTTATAATGTTAAATAAATATGAAAATAAAAATAGGGAATAATTTTTTTTATTAAATTACTTTTATTAAGTATTGGTGTAAACACCATATCATAAATACGTAATAGAATATATTAACTTAAAAATGGTGAAATTATTATTAATAGAATAATACAATTGAAAAGAAAATATTTATAGTGCATTAAAAACTATAAAGATTCACTCATTTTGAAATAAATTATTTTACAAATAGTTCACTCATAATATGGAACATGGAAATATTTATGAAATGGCTTCTTTTTCATAGTAAGTCTAATCTCATGCATGCTTGTGTCTTGTACTAAAAGAAATAAAGCAAAAACAAAGTTCTTAATTCAGAGAAAACAGAATAAATAACTTTAATTGCTTATGATTAATTAAGAAGTGGAATAAAGTTTTTAACATACACTTTATCTTTATTTTATAGCTTTATCCGTTAACCTATTATAAAGGACTATTCTTGTTAAAAGAAGTTAAATCAACAATTCAATGAAACAGTTAAAAGCATCATAATCAATCTTCATAGTTAGCTTTCTTCCTTTTTTTGTTCAAATTCCAATATAGTAGGATAAAGATTTTATAGTAGGGTTAAGGAAATTAAAGATAAATATTAGACATATAATATATGTTATTGTACTTTGAGGAAGATTTAACATATATGATAACAACATAAAGAAACCAAAAAACTCCAAAATCCAACTATCTATAATATCAATATTTTACATGTCTGATCAAACCGGTCGATTCAATTGGATAAATCAAAAATAAGTTAGTTTATTAGTTGGTTCAATCTCGTTTGAAGTATAGTATGATCAAATTAGGTTTAGTTATGATTGAAATACGACTGATTCAACAAATTTTTAATTTTTATTTTCACGTATTTTTATTATATTTTATTTATCTATTAGTCATTCTACTCGATTAGGTTAAATCGGTTGAATAATAATTTATGTCTCACTACCTTAATCTAAAACTCAATTTTTTAAACATTGTATAGTTTACTATAATTGCTTGTAAATTATAACTTGTAGTAGTAACCTATATTGCAACACATATAGAGTGTTAGATGTTAAATAATTAAAGGAGGTGATTATACATAATAAAGAAAAACTTAATTTTCAATAAATATTTTCATTCATTATTATAAACAATATCTATACTACTATAAGATTATTATTCAAAAGATCTTGAGTTCAAATTTTAAGGATAAAAATCATGTTTAAAACGACCGATCTTATTAAAGATGGTTAGTCAGCTTTTCGAAGCGTTGTAGATACACCGCATTAATAAAAAAAACAATGTAATACGAACATAAAAGAAAAATATATAATTTTTTGAAGAGATATAAACAAAATGCAAACCTGTTGTGAATAGGATCTGGTCCATTGGGAACTCTTCTTTTACTCATATAATTGAAATCCAATTGTGCATCATGGTTACCAACAACAACAACTTGTTGATGATCATGTTTTGTAGTAGTAGTACTTGTTGTTCTTCCACCACTAACTAAGCTAGCAATAAACATAAAAGAAACAAACCCCACCACTACAAGTACTCTAAACAAAAACCTTGAAACAAAATAACTAGTACTAGTTTTAGTATCCATATGCAACAACACTTTTTTCTTCTTATATAGGATGATGAATCAAGATGTGTCACCCTATACTATATAAGACATATAGAACAAGATACAAAAAAGGCTATAATAATTTCATAATGATTGAAGAGGAAGAAAAACAAGATAGAGGGAGAGAGAGAGAGAGAGAGAGAGAGAGAGAGAGAGAGAGAGAGAGAGAGAGAGAGAGAGAGAGAGAGAGAGAGAGAGAGAGAGAGAGAGAGAGAGAGAGAGAGAGAGAGAGAGAGAGAGAGAGAGAGAGAGAGAGAGAGAGAGAGAGAGAGAGAGAGAGAGAGAGAGAGAGAGAGAGAGAGAGAGAGAGAGAGAGAGAGAGAGAGAAAGAAGAGGTAGTAAGTGTATAAGAATTGAAATATTTTTACTACGAAGGTTAAGGGGTGAGGTTGGTTTTCTTTATAGGTTGGAGAGATTATGTTAAGACTTTCTCGAACTAAGAGCGTGACATGGAGGCAAGACTTTGCTTTATACGGAGAAAGGTGATAATACACGACACTATACTTTTGCTTTGGTGTTTTTATTGTGTGTGAGTGTGTATTTTCATGCAATGCAACTACGATGTGTATGTGTGTGTTTGTGTGCCAAAAGACTGCTTATACTTTCATTCTTTACGTACAATTGTGTTAAAGGAAAATTATATGTTGCCTTGCATGTTGTGTCATGCGCTCTCTCTCTCTCTCTTGATATCTTGATATGCTTGTGGAATCAATCAAGAGAATGGAAAATGGATAGAATCTTATATGAAGTTGATCTAGATTGATGGTGCGAGGTGGACGATGACACTCAATTTTTTTTTAGTAGAAAAAGTGTATCTGCAAACATTCTAACGAATAGGTTAGTATAAGATAGAGTGTGTCTGGAAGTTTTGTGATTAGAAGTGAGAGTATCTTATTCGTATGTTGGTGTTTTTGAAAATAGTTCATCGTCTGTCTTTCTCTTCTGTCATCTCTCTCATGATTCATCTAGTGGCTGAAAATTGATAAAATTATTTAGATAAAAGGACGTTGCTTTGAAAAGTGAGAAAAAAAATAGATGAATGGTTAAGATTGATGGCTGAATGGACGCAGTAGAGAAAACCCTGTAGAGGATCCAAATCCTGATGTCTTTATATGAGACTAATAGGAATGCAATGTCATATTTATATAATAGCGGGAGGGAGTTATGACGCTCCTCAACTTTATCCGATCAAGTGAAAAATCTTACTCTTTTTTTTATATAAGGTTAGGAGTAGAAAGAGTGTATTTGCAAACATTCTAACAAACAGATTAGTCTACAATAGAATGCGTCAAGAGATTTTGTGATTAGAGATAAGATTATCTTATTCGTGCGTTTGTGTCCTTATATGAGACTAGTAGGAATGCAATGACATATTTATATAATAGTAGGAGGGAGTTATGACGTTCCTCAACTTTATACGATCAAGTGAAAAATGTTACTCTTTTCTATATAAAGTCAAAAGTAAAAAGAGTGTATCCGCAAACATTCTAACAAATATGTTAATTTACGATAGAATGCGTCAAGATATTTTGTGATTAGAAGTGAAATTATCTTTACAATCAAGTGAAAAATTATTTGTGATGCATTAGTAAGCGTTAAGCATAGTAATAAAAGACAGGCTTAAAATAATTGATTTACAAATGTAATTGTGGTTGTAACTTCCAAAAACTTGATGCCCTTCTAGAATGATTTAAAACTCTTATCAATCAAATTTAATTATTCTTTAAAGCACTCAAATGAATACATTAGAGAAAATACTAATTAATTAATTTAGAGCTACCATTGGAATATTTGGACTTAAGTTTGTTATGTAACATGAATTTGAAAATAAAGCATTTTGTGTATTTCTATTCTAATTTGACTAGAAAAGTAAAGGTAGAAAAAGTGAATTAATAATACAAGAGTACAGAAGAAACATAAAGGAAATAAATTAGATCACACTGTAAACATGTTAGATTGTGTAGGCATTCAACATTCATCTTCTTCATAGAATTTAACACCTAAAGGGTTGGTCAAGTCTTGCATTTTAAAAGTCACATGATTAAACCCATTTTTGCAACTTCTCTATGTTTCAAAAATATTAGTTTTCAATGATTGAATGAGACATGGTTTATCATTGAAGTTTTTGATATTTTGGCAAAAACGAGTCGGACGTGTCTGTTTATCTCGTCATTTTCGGTGAATTAAGGTAAGGTGTTTAATTCGTTATTCTATTTTGTCAATCTTTGACTTTAATGAGCAGAACCTAAACAACAGATCTAACTTTTTATCATTTTTAAGCTTTAGCGGTGGTAAAACAGACTAAACCCGTTCATTTGATCTGTATTTTTTGCGGATCAAGCAAATATTTTCAACCCACCTCTCAATTTTGTCTATCTCGTCTCATCCCGTATTATTTTTTGACGAATTTTAATCGGGCGAACATGTCAGTTTGTCACCTCTAATTGATATCCAATTGCAACTATTTTATTAACTCACTTGTACTCTGTTGGGAATTATAGCCAACACAAAATACTAAATAAAAAATATATTTTGTCCTCACACATTCTCACTTTTTCTCCAAACAAATCTCTAATTTGAACAATTCTACATCAAAATATCCTCCCATAGTTAATTCGAATTATGCTCTATAGTATGTACCAAACAATAGCTGCCCTAAAAATGGCCCACATATTTATATGCTTTAATATATGCTACTCACCACTCTTAGTTGAGGCTGCAAATTCTATACAACCTTAATGGCACATAGATAATTATTTAAATAGAAAAAAAAAAGAGCATATGCATAAGAATTAAGAACTATAGCATATAAATTACAAACAGAAGTTTGTTCTTTGGAATGTGAGGTTTGATTAGGGGAATACATACATACTCTATATCACCGACACTTCTGTAAAAAAATGTGTGTTTGTGTCTATGTCAGTTTCGGACACTGACTTTAATATTTGTGATTACATTCAATTTATTTATTTTTCGACGTGTCTGATATTCATGTCTGTGCCCGTGCTCATATATACTTCTTTTTCCATAAGGCTAAAGCATAAGGAACATTTTAGTGTCTTATCCATTATGCATATGAATCTTGGTGTAATCAAAAACCAAAAGTAATTTTTGTTGGAGAATCTAATGCTTTTTACTGTAATAGCTTCCCCTTCAAGTTACATGGATAACTGTTTTGTTCATAGCATCAACTGATATATATATTACTCTACATAAGTTGCTTTAGGCATTGATGCCATTGCCTATGGCACACATGTTTGAGGTGTGGAATATTGCAATATGTATTGATATTTCATATTTGACAGTGATTTATACCTAAAGACATCAATACAAAATCAATCAATTTGAGAGTTGTAAGGTTGAGGGAATGAAGCATGTTGCCTTATGCTGATTTGTTCATTGAGGACAAGTTTTTTTGGACTTTATGTCCATGATTGATTAATTATTAAGCAATTTTATATGAAACTTTTGGTGTTAATGTCTACTTAGTCTATTCTATTCACTATAGTGAACAATTCAATTGAGCTATAACATCTAACAGAACTAATCATCCTTCAACCTATGACATACATCAGAAAATTTAAGATTTCACAAGTGTTGAAAACAATGAGTATAAGTCTTTATTCTTGGAATTGATATATTTTCTCTAAAGTTAAAAGCACATCCAAACATTAAGCTTCATAAGAATTATGTATAAAGCATGTATGAATAAAGGATGTTACTAAAACTAAAAGTAAAAGCATTGGTATAGATTTTCCTAATCAATATACCATATAATTGTTACCATCAAATCAAACAGTTGAGAATGTTTTTCTGGAAAAGAATCTACATGGAAGATATTATATGCAAATGAAAGATGGCAAACACAAATAAGCAGTGGGGGCTAAAAATTATCTCATAAGTTTCTGAATTTTGGTGATTTGTTATGAAAAAGCTAATCTTTTTGCATCTAAAGCTATATGACTGACAGTAGAGAGTGATATACCATTGCTTTTGTTTATAAGCATGGATTCTTTATATGGAATAAAATAATGTATCAAGCTTCACACTTTAATTTTGTGCAGGAATCTTTACTATATGTTGCACATTTTGATTTTGGCTTTTCTGCATGCCTAAAGAAGCTTCTGTAGAATTGTGTATCCTCTCTGCATTTGAAGTTGGCATGTGAAAATCTTCATTTATCATCCTTTAATTCATGGTTGTCAAAATCGGAATCTCACTAAAGATCGTTGAGGGTTGAAAGAAGCGTGAATCGTAAAATCGTAAGTCGGATCGTAAGATCCCACCAAATATACAAAATTATATATTTCACTAAAAAACATTAACATTTTTTTTTTAAATTAATAAAAACCACGTTCCAAATTCTAAAATTCCAAAATTCCAAATAATTAAAAACATCTAAAATTTCAAAACATTAACACTAAACATAAACTAAAATTTAACTTAAACATAAACTTCAATTTAACAAATCATACAATGTATCTAGAGCAAGTCCAACATCCAAATCATCTTGATCTCCTCCATCATCTTCATCTTCAAGGTTGTGAACCTCCAAATCATCTTGATTGCTGATTCCATTCTCTCCATTTTGATTGCCAACTTCTAAATCTCTACTTTCAATTGTGAAATCTAAAATATCATCATCTAACCAATCTTAATTATTGTCCATGATCCACTCATCATCCGATTCAATTTCGTCAATGCTACATTCTACCACCTTTCTTGTTTTCTTCTTTTTGCCAACTTTGAATTTGTCATTACAAACACAACATCGTTCATTGTTTTTTGCTTCAAGCGATTTTTTTTCTTTGTATGGACCATTTCAAAAGCACTCCAATTTCTTTCACATCCCGATGAGCTACAAGTTAAGCTAAGGACACAAATTGCAAATTTTTGTAGCTCGGGATGCTCGTCCCCATATGATTCCCACCATTGTGCTGGAGTTTTAGTTTTAAGAGCCGCCAATGCTATTGCACTGCCGAAAAACTTTGCCTTTCTCTTAAAATCTTTCAATTGAGCATCAATCTTACTTATTTCTTCTACATCTCCGATCATCCTTTCCATACAATCATATAATCCTCGTTTAACTTCATAGTCAGCTTTAAAATTAGAGTTATAATGCAATTTTGGGTTGAGATAGTAACCGGCAGCATGCAAAGGTCTGTGCAATTGCTTATCCCACCTTTCATCAATTATATCTCATAAAGGCTTGTATCTAAATAATAATAAATAAAAATTCAGTGAGTAAAGTTGAATAAAAAGGGAGAACAGTGAGGAAAGTTGAAAAAAAAAAACCAAATTTAAAGAGTAAACAAAACAGAGACGAGTACATAGAATATATCAGATTTGAACAAAACAGAGACAAGAGTACATCAAACAGGGACCAGATTTTCTCTAAAAATGTAACAGAATTAAAGTTGTAGTTAATACTTTCTTTGAACACCATTGAAGTTAGCTTGAATTTTCTCTTTAGCTTTGTCCATTTCCTCATAAATTAATCCCATCGCTGGAATTTCATCAAAATCTACTAAACGAATTACTTTAATCAGAGGATAAGAACCATTACAACAAATAACAATATTTTTCCAAAACTCTTTATCCATAACCACTTCTTCAATTTGCTTTCCTTCACTTGTTTTTGCAAACTTGGTTATTGTCCATTCTTATCAATCCTCCTTTATTCTCCATGAGACACCCTAAAGTTAAATAAGATGTCGCAAATCGAGTAACTGTCGGTCTCACCAAATCTTTTCCTTTTGTATGAATTTGTAATAAAGAAATAAGGGAAGGTTTGTGAATAAATGAATTGAGTGATTTTCTTACCTTTTGAAATTGTTTCATTGTGAACTTTTATATATTTTTCAAAATCCTCTAACATGAGATCAATGCAGTGGGCTGCACAGGAGGTCCAATAGAGCTTCTTTCGCTTTTTCATTAACATTGTACCTGCTGCTTTGTAGTTTGCAGCATTGTCAGTGACAATTTTCACAACATTTTTTTCTCCCATTTCTTCCACAATGTCATCAATCATCTTAAAAATTGCATCAGCAGTTTTTGCAATGTGTGAGGCATCAATGGACTTTAAAAAGACGGTACCTTTAGGACTGTTCACTAAAAAATTCAATATTGTTCTTCTTCTTTTGTCTGTCCACCCATCACTCATTATAGTGCATCCTGTAAGTTTGTGTTCTTCAATGAATTTCTTTGTCTCCTCCATTTTATGCTTCAAGTACTTTGTTCTGATTTCATGATATGAAGGTGGTTTGAATCCAAGACCATGTCTTGAAACCATCTCCAACATTTTTTGAAATTCTTCACTTTTTGCCACATTAAAAGCTATGGCATTGTTGTAGAAGAGGATGCATGAACGGGAATTGATGAAGACATTGGAAAAAAAATTGTGGTAGAATAGAAGGTATGATGAGAGATCGTATAACTAAAGAAGAAAAGAAGTTGATGATTGAATATAAATCGTATGATTGATTTATAGATGGAATTGAAGAAGAATAAATGATATCATTTAATAAATTGATATTTTTCAGATTGATTTTTAATTTCTCCCAAAAAATCAGTCTTGTAGATAGCAACAGATTCTGACTTTTAATGATGAAAAACGGCTAATTTAATGTGAAACGGCCGGTAGAAAAAGCTGAATGGGTCACCTTCTTCAATGGGCATTGGACCGGATCGGGTCGAAACGGGTTGGACAAATTTTCCACTGCGACATAGATCTTCGCTTTCACGTTTTTACGATCTTACACTGCGCTCCTACTGCACCGCCTTCTCCAGCGATCTTTGTTGCGCTCCGCCGCTGAGCATGGTGAAAACTCGCAAGATCTTAAGATCTCACGATTTAAATCTAGATTTTGACAACCATGCTTTGATTCCAAAACTATAACATTTACATGTATTGTTTAAATATCGACATAACTGTCTTTGAGAGGCGTACAAGGCAGGCTACTGCTCAGTGTTCAAAATTTGACACGTTTAAACCGTGACTAAAAAGAATCTCACTAAATATGTCAGTAAAACTATGACCAAATAGGGACCGTATTTGGTCTGTCACACTAACACTGTAGTTAATTTATACTAATCTATGCAGGACCTCCAAAAAAAACTTAAGACTCTAGTTAATTTATACTAATCTATACAGGACCTCCAAAAAAAAACTTAAAAGGAGCCTGGATATCACAAAAACTTAAAACGGATCTGAATATCTTAATATAATCATCTAAAGAGACATAGTAATGTAGTGCATGTAGTAATAAACCAAATAAAGGGTAAAGATTTTCCACCTTGTGTGAATCTCACACCTTTTATGGATTCGTACACTACAAACAACTTTGTTAAGTGCTTCCCTACAGTTAAATGTGATTAATAATATTGTTCTGTCTTGGACTGGAATAATTTACACAAGAATGTAACATGTGTCATAGTCATAATTGGTCATTAGGAACTCCATTGCATGATTCTATACAAAGGAACAGAACATATAGATTGATTTGGGGTGTAAAAGACCCTAATCTAAATATGCTTACAGTACTAAAGTTCCACTTGGGAACATCATTCTCTAATAAGCTTCTTTCAGTTTACTTAATGTTTTATTTTGAGGTAAGTATCTAGTTAATTAACTATGTAATCATTAAGACACTGCTGTTTAAAATATTCAATTAGACATATTGATTGAGAAAAAGGATTCTCCATTGCATATGAGAAATTATGGTATAACAGTAACACTACATTTCATGTCATGTCACTAGTATACAACATTTGAATTGCTACACAAAAAAATGAATACTTTGGAGGCTGTTGCTGAATCTCGACATTTCCTATTATAATTAAATATCATACATTGTAATTAAAAAAAATGGAAGGAAAAAAAAGGTTTCAGTGTGGAAGAAATCTCATCATACAGAAAGTCTTGAATTTCAAAACCGAGAGTTTGGTTGACCCCTTCCGGCTGCTACATAACCGGACATGGCGGCGGCCCTCTTTTTTTTCAGGTATACTAATGATCCGCTAATGAGCAACAAGAATATCATAATACCCTGTACAAAGATTCCCAAAAAATGTTCATGTTAACATAGAACATCTTTTATGGTTAAACAAGTAAACTGCAATGTAACGATGAACTAATGAGATGACAGCAGTAGTAAAACAATTGGATGAAGATTATACAAAGGTTTAGAGAAGTTGGGCATCCTTAGAGATTTGAAATTTGAATATCTAACACCATCAGTGTAGTCAAGATCAAGTGCTGGATCGTAAGATTGTAAGATCTTACGTGCTAAGGATGCCTAAAAGTGCTACGATCAGAGAAAGATTGTTTTCGACGCCGACATGGTTAAGATCGAGATTTTTGAAGCAAGATCGTTAAAAAACGTGTCGGGCCTTTTATTTTTGTCTGTATTATGATTTGTGTGTGTGTGTGTGTGTGTGTGTGTGTATGAAATTACCTTTTTTCCCTTCGGTAGGATCTTTCGTGTCGTGCTAACAATTCGAGTTTTACGATCTTTCACAAGCCGACCAATCCTACTTAAGATCTCGTGCTTGACTACATTGAACGCCATGTTTGGATCAATTATGTTTGATTTTCTCCCATCCTCTATACTTTTAAGACTTAGTTTAGAGAAGTGGGAAATCATAGAGTTAGTGCATCGGATAGTGGCACCATGCTTCCTTATTAAATGATAATGTTGCGTCTAACTTGTGAACACGACTGACATTTTGCAAGCTTTTCGCGAGAATTACCTTAGTGCTTAAGAGCCATGACCACATGGAAAAACTAAGTTCATGCAGATGCATGCAGCTTAGGATGTAAATAATAGAACTTTCCTTTGTTTCTTCAAACTCTACCAACAAATATCCTCCCATTGACAGATGCTGATAAGTGAGAGTTTTTCCATCAGCAGCTCAAAAGATAGTGGTCATTATCTGTTTATAAGAGTAGTCAATAGCGGCGCGCTCCGCTGTAGGAGCAGAGGCTGACCGCTATGGGAAGAGCCTTAGAGGTGCAGAACACTATAGCAGCCGCTATAGAGTAATTAGCAGATAGCAGGGGCAGAGCGGTTCTTGGCCCGGAGCGGTTTCTGTTCTGCTATCCTTTTCCCTTCTGAAAAACCGAAATAAACCCTAAATTTTAAAACGTATTAAGGGTAACTTAGGGTTTTTCAATCAAATTTGAGTTGAGACTCAACCCTAACCTTCCTTCACCGACGTTTTAGTACTTCAGCCATTCAAAAGAAAAATCAAAAGTTCTTCCTTCACCTCTCTGCGTTTCGTTCTTCCCTTTGCACTTCATATCTGTATAATTATTATTCATGTAATTTATCCAAAAAAATTATCAAATTGCGGTCATCCTGCTATACGCTATCCCATTTTTGGGGTCATCCGCTCCGCTCCGCGCCGCTATCCAGACTTGACTACTCTGGTTTATATATGCATATATTGATGTCACGCCCGTGGTTTGCAATTAGCCATTCTTCCTTGCCATTTAAAGAATCAAACACTAAATAGCGACTGACAGCACAAGTTAATCCTCTAAGATGGACACATTAGTTCAAAAGAATAATACGCAACTAAATATTCAATATATGATATGATTTCTCCATTTGATTAAGTTCAGAAGCCAATAAATGAATATAACAATAAATCCGAGCTAGTAACTGAAAATTACCTCAAAACCAAGCACTGATAACTTCTGTTCAGAATCTGCGGGTATACAGCTTCTATAAGTGACATAAGCCTGTGACTGATTATTTGAAGCCAATGAATCATCCAGTAAAGTTCTATGTGACCGCGAAGTTGTTACCGCTTCAGAAACATGTGAAACTTTATGAGACTTTTCAATACTACTAGAGATTTCCAAAGCAGTCCGAGTTTTCTTAGGATTTGTTTCCTTAGCATCCTTCTTTGAGGCTTTACTCTTTTCACATTTGAATGGAATTCGATAACCTGTCTCACTGCAGCGATATTTCTCATCACCCTACAAACTCCCCCGAGAAAGCTTGTAGTTAACAATAAAGTAAAGAGGCCATAAATAACAACTAGACATGTAGTACAGAGTAAGAAAGACCCGAGCATACATACAATACAACCAAGAGATCATATTCGTAGGCATAAAAGCAATGTTCCAAAACCAAACCAGACCGTTTAACCAGTCGAACTCTGAACCAGGATTGTCCATGATTGGTCATGTGAACAATTTAATCGTGGTTTATCCTAGTTTGAGCGGTTCAAATGGTTGAACTATGATCACAAGGACTTGCGGGTCAATGTCCATACCGGTTTTAAAAACATTGCATAAAAGGTATTCAAATCTTTTAAAAGCTTCACAAAACATTTATAGATGACGGAGACATAAGATTTAACTTTAATCATATTTCATCTACAATTCCAATTCTCCATCCAACCCTTTGACATCACATTAACATCTACGTATGACACTAAGACTTCAAAATCAATATGTACACAAATACATAGTAACACATAACACATTAGTCCATAAATTGGACGCAGATCTTTGCATTCATATACGATATATCTTTTCAACCTTCAATTCTCATTACCTAATTTCAAAATGTTCAATTGTATTAGTCTTCAAAAGTTGTGCAAACACTTCAAATATTATCGATAAAGTTTTAAATAAATGTTCTGTGCCAGGTTAAAGACTAGAACGTGAGAATTGGACTCAGCCCCACCCTAGGTGCGGATTGAAGTTGTATTCGTGTTGTTGTTGAAGTCTCACATTGCTTAAGTTCCCAGACTCTAATACCATGTTAAATGAGCTTAGATCTCGTCCCAGACGCTAGCTCATAGGATGAGGTTATTCAATCACATTTACACATCCAACAATTCGGAAACCTAAGCAATGTAAGACTCTAATCAATGAATACAACTTCAACAACAACCACAATATTAACCTCAATCAAACTCAAACCCCTACTAATGAAAAATCCAAACTACTATTCCTAAAAATATGAAAAATGAAAGCACCTTCTCAGAGTAGATGCAGGGAACACAAGGACCAGAAGGAGCACAATCAAAGGTAAAGTTACTTCCTGCGGGCTTTTCTTTCAAACTCGTAAGAACTCTGTGCCCAAACCCATGTCCACGTTGAGAATCATCGCTGTTCCCATTTCAAATAAGAAGAAAAAGATTATAAATTTGAAGTAAAAGAGATCAAAACAATTGAATAGATCATGAATCAGGCGAATCAGCGAGAGATTAGAGCTTACGTTTGTTGACCTAAAACGTGAAATGGTGTTTCGTGAAATAGAAAATTGGCGAAGAAGATGAACA